CCCCACTCCCCCCCCAGTCTGTGCATTCCCACTCCTTCCTGGTATCCTCAAATTCATTTACTTATTTTTATTTCAGCCAGATGCAGTTCCTGGATCTCCACCTGGCCACTGGGAGCAAAGAGCAAGAGGAGAGGCCACGGAAGCCGGGGGTGGATGAGGTGGCACCTCTTTGCCACACCTGTGTGTGCTGCAGACTTGGGTGGACTTGAACCGACTGCGCAAACACACCTTGAGGAACAGGGCAGGACCTGGGAATTACTGTATTTCCACCTGGCTTAAGGAAACCCTGTTCCTTGTGCCACCTGACTCCCAGCTTCTTTTACTATGCTCTGATGGAGTAAATGAAAGAAAAATACTTGTTCCTTCTGACTCTTCAAACTCATATCCCCCATTTGGGGAAATCTGCTCTATAGTAATTCCTTAAGCAAGGGGAAAGCAGTATGAGAAGATCCAGTAATTCCCACTTTTACTCACTTCACGCAGAGGTGAAGCAGGATATCACACTTGAAAGCACATGAGAAAAAAAGGAAAAAATCTATATAATAAAAAATTCTATGTTTTCTATATAATTTTCTATATAATAAAAATGTTGTGGAAACATCTCTGAGGAGGGGAAAAAGCAAAATGATTTAATATGTCTAAAGAAAGTATTATATTTAAATATCTAATATAGAATACATGTAATATATAAACCTCTAATATATTTAAACTGTGGAAACAAGCATTTTCTTTCTGCGAGCACATTTTCCAATATAAAAGAGTAGAAACTCTCATTTATCCATTTTTCTTTTTTTTTTCCCCAAATGGTCTCAAAATAAGCCAAAAGCACTTGAGATAGAAGAGTGAAACAAAAACAACAACCCCATTTATTCCTGGACACCAAATATAATTTAGACGGATGTGGTATGGATAAGAAATTTTAATTTGCCCCTGAAAAGGCATTTAATTATTCAGATTATCTGATTGCCTCACTCAGGCTTCTATTGATTGATTAGAGAACTTTATAAATCAAAATCTGCATTACTGCTGCTCAGTGTGTTGGCTTCTCACAAATCCAATTGGCAGTCCCTGCCCACAAGTTAGTTTATTGAGACATGTAAATGGCTCTGGTTTATAAATGGGTCAGTAAGTGTTCCTTCATCCTACTAAAGGAATATTTTCTTAAGGACATCAGGAAGCGGGGAGGGGGGAAAAGCCCTGAAGTAATAGGTGTTTAATAAATCAGGGTAGAGTCATCAAAATTCCCAGCTCCTTGGCTAATGGCCATGAAGGATCACTATCCATGGATCCCACTGGATCTGCACCACTCTGTGGGTCTGGGGTGCTGAGCTTGGGCTGAAATCTAAGCTGAGCCTTCCCTAAGCACCCGCTCACCAGCCAGTCCCAAATTAGGCAGAAAATCCCCTCGGAGCAGCCAAGAGCTCTTTGATTTCAGAGCTCAACCTTCATGACCAGCTTGACTCTTCCAGCCTGGACCCAATAACCTCCAGTGAGCAGCAATTACCGTAATGAGTGGCCTGACTGCCCCCCACAGCTCCAGGCCCCAGCACCAACACGTCCCTGGCAAACTGGAATGTCTAGTCCTGAAACTCCACCTCTGCAAGAGGAAGGAAGTAGAAAACTGAAATGGGTGGAGGGTAAAAAAAAAATTAAAAATTAAATCAAATGAGTTTAAATGAATCCCTCCAGCCTGATCCAACCCTGGCTGAAGTTAATCAAAACCTTGCATTGAGATCAGGGGGCTGTAATGGCAGTTTTTCAGGTTGTACAAACCTGTACCAAACAGAGTTAAAGCTACACTGACTGTGTTCCTCGTAGTCTGAACTTTGCTTTCTAGGACAGAAGAAACATGCAGGAAAAAAACCCAAAAGATGAAACAAAACATCAAAACTCTTAACAAATTAAACATGTCAATCATTAATTGGAACAAACTTTATTAGTATTATTTGTCTATACAGCAAATTATTTGCATGGCTTCCTGTGCACCACAAATCACACCAAAAAAATCCCTTTTTAGCTTAAAGTCATTTTTATTTCAAAATTTCCACATAGTAAACTACTAATTCATAACTTATACATCTTACATCCAGCATTTCTTCCTTGCAGAGACAAGCCCCTCATAAATATAAAATCTGCAGGGTGACAAAGAATCAGGCCGTTTATGGACTACCTGGGAGAGTTTTACCACATTCAGGACCTCCACATCAGGTCCCACAAGATACCCACGTCTGACAGGAGCCAAGATCCCTGGGAAGGCACACAAAACCAGGGGTGCTCCCCCAGGCACAAGTGAATTGCAGCCCTGGGATTTCCAGAGCGAGAGATGTTCTGCATTCAACAGGCCCTAAGTGATTTCTCTTCTGTGAATTCATCTAAACACTTTAAAATCCCTCAGACCACTCTTGCCAAGGAGTTCCACAGCTAAACTACGATTCTGTGAAGACATTTCTCTGGTTTATTCCGAACCTGCCAGTTCCATTTGATGCCCCTTGGCTCTGGTGCCCTAAGAGCCAGTCACTGGTCTCTATTTATCTTGTATGTAAAGAATAAAAGGGAGTTGAACAACTGCTCTGAGCACTCGCTGCATTAATGAATTTCAGAGATTTTCTTATGCATGTGCAGTAACTTAGGGCTGTTTGGCTGAACTGTTTATGCAGCTGAAATTTGAGTTACCTGTAGCTCAGAGATGCTGCCTCTGTGAGGACTGTGTGGGCACCAGCAGAACATCAAGAGCTCCCCCATCCAACCAAAACTTTATATTTTGTGCCACAAACTGTTAACACGAACATACTGCATCTGTTATTGCACACAAGTAACACCAGTGCCCACAGTGTGGCCAAATGGAATCAAGTGGGAACACAGGGTAGAACTGAAAGGAAAAAATGTCAGCAACTTCAAAGAGAGGAGCTGGACCTTCACTTTTCTTTCACAGGCACTTGTGTTTCTGTTTGCTTCATTGCTCCTTCCTATACTGTAACTGCTAATTATGTCATTATATCCAGGAAAAAAATAGCACTGGGGAATTTGAAAGTGTGTTTTCAAACCTGGACATAAGTTTGTCAGCCTCTCATATCGTGAAAAGGGATGGAAGCTAACAGATCAACTTCTTCACTGATACAAGAAGCTGGACAAACAGCAGGTAAGAACTTTGTGCTGGAAGCGTAAGGAGCACTTGTTGCACTGTCGATAACCAAACACCAGCACAGCCCTTCAGTCCGTCCCCGTGCTACCCCGCATTGTCACTGCCTGCCCTCAAATACCTGCTGCACTTTACTCCAGAGGTAGCTGCCCGTCAGCATTCCCAAATCCACACCTCCCGGAGCGAAGGGTGTGTGCGGGACAAGGTAAGACAAACGCATCCCTTTCATCAGAGCCGTGCCCTGTAACGCCGCTCGCTCGGAGCGGCTCCAGCGAACCAGACATCTCCCATCTGTTGCTCCGAGGAGAACATGCCAGCACAGACTTTTCTACTCCTCCACAACGATCCTTCAGCTCCAGCCCTTATTCTCCCTCCCGACTAACCTGTACTTCCACACCAATACTGGGGCACTCTCTAAAATTAGGCCGTCGCTGTCCCCTCCCCTCAGAGGACGAGTTCAGAGAAACCCATCCGCACTCCTGCTTTCTCCTATCGGGTTCTACTCCCCCCTGCGTTGTCCCGGTTATTCCCGAGGCCGGGAACTGACGTCGCGGCTCTCTGTAAAGGCAGA